GATTTACATATAATGTAGCAAAACAACAGAAATGCATAGCCCTTGTGAGTTACCTATCAACACAGTGAAACACTCTGACTTTCAGCACAACTGAAGAGAAGTGGCTGGAAAGCCTACAGGTTTCCTTCTATAAGTGTGTAGGTGGAAAACCTCGGCTGCTCTTCATCCCACATAACAGAGGAGTCAAAGACATTTTAATGTAAAACTTAGAATGATTCTATTCTTCATAAAGTTTTAAAATCTCTCTGAGGGTTTAGAAAATCAATGCTACATTTATTTAAAGTGGCACTGAATGAAAAAGCTTCTTAAATTCGTCACCATGACTAAGAAAGCCAATTGGCTGCAGCTCCACTCACTGCCCCATGTCTTTCAGTGGCAGGACAGTAGTGACCTTCCTTCTGTGTTAGTGTGTGTTTTACCAAGATGGGTGCATGTAACAGCCAAGAGGCTTTGACAGTTCAGGGGATATTGCAACAATCTTTAGAATTTTAGATGTAGAACTGTCATCACTACCAATATGCAGAAAGTCATGGGTCATCTTCCTAAGAAAATGTCAACATTTGTTTCAATTTATGTAATTTATGTAACCTATGACCATGTTGTGGGGAGGACTGCTATCCTCTCAGGGCAGCAGATGACAACTGCAAGGAGCTTTTCACCGCAAGGTCATCATTCAAGATTGGATTTCTAAAGAAGCTGCAAAAGAATTGCTATCAAGTCATGATATTGGCTCTCCCTGCAAATACCTCTCTGTAAAATATGAATTGCTAAAATGGCCATGCAATGAAAGAGAAAATGATTTATAGAAAGACTTATGACCTAACTGCAAAATTACTGGAGAAAAAAAAGAGAGAGAGAGATGCAGCCACCTGCTCCTGACAATGGTAATCATGACCCCAAAGAGCTGGAGAGAAATCAAAATGAGCTCATGGGGAGATGCACAATAAATGTCCCTTCACACCACACTCTTCCTTTCTAGGCTAAGGACTAAACTCCCCCACCTGAAGCAAAACACACAGCCAGCATTGACCACTTTAATGAGTTCACAAACTGATAAAATTTAAATATTGATGGCTTGGATATTTTGGTGGTACGTTGGATGCAGCAACACCTGATTCTAGGGACTAGGTAAACCCGCATCATATTTCACTCTGGAAGGGTCCCTGAGGGGCTCCTTCCCATGTACACTGATATTAACGTTTTGGCTCAGTGGTATAGTGCTTAGCTAGCCTGTGTGAGGCTTTGAGTTCCACCTCCAGCAATGCCAATAGATAAATCAATGAATGACTCAATAAGTGTGAAATAAGCATATAAAATAAATGTTAAACTAACATTTATTTATATTAATATTTTAGTGTTCAACGTACAAGCTAATTTTCTAGCTTGTATTCTTCTATTTAATAAGTTTGTTTTGGAAGTATCTAGGATGCAGGTGAGCCATATAATCTAGTTGTAAATGAAAGTTCATATATTTATTTTAATATAGGGGCCTTATTTCATACCCTGAAGATTGAACCTATGTCACAGGTGATTCATTTCACTGAGCTGTAAAAGTGTACTATCTCCAGGAGCTGCCTACCTCTCTTCTTTCCTCTATCTGACCAGCACTGAAGCTATCCCAACAACCACCTTGCCCCACACCATAGCCTTTCATGACTTCCTATAATAATGTGCCCATCACACTTTTTGTGTTTCTATAGAAAAGGAAACCTTTCCTTATACATGTTCCTGTTCCAGCTCAGATACCACCTTGGCACCCACCATCAGTCTGTGAGACCCTCTGATTGCCCCTGTGACTCCTGCATAAGAGTGCAGGGGCCACTGTCATCACAGAATGGCACTGGTTGCCTCTGCACTCCTTTCACCACCTTCCTGGAATAGACATCTTATCCTCAATAAAAGACATGGACTTAGAAAGTCACCGGAGTCCTTCAGACAAGGTAGCAGACAGCATTGAATACTAGAAATTCTTCCTTAAAACTGTTTTCCAGGTAATTAAACTGGTAAAGGCACTTGCCACCAAGCTTGGGATAAACATGATAGAAAAGGAGAATTGTTCCCACTTGTCCTCTGACCTTCCCCCCCCCCCCCCGTATCACACCATGGGATACACACACTCACAAATACACACACTAAATAAATATGTGCATAAATAAATGTCATTTTTTGAACGATTGCCTACCAAGGAATTCAATCTTTTGTTGGCTGGTTGTATCTTCCTAGTTTGGGGAGAAAGGTATTAGCTTATAAACTAAAGCCCCAGACACACTTTGATTTTCTTACACTGTCATTTCTTACCCTGGTAGGTACATGATCTCCCATTGTGCTATAACAGTAGTTTTCACCCTTCCTGATGCTGCAATCCTTTAATTCAGTTCATGTTGTGGTGACCCCAAACTGTAAAATTATTTTTTTAGTACTTCATAACTGTGTTTTCCTACTGTTATGAATTGTAATAGAGTATCTGTGTTTTCTGATAGTCTTAAGTGAGCCCTGTGAAAGGATCATTTGGCTCCCAAAAGGGGTTGAGAACCACAGATTGATAACAGTGTGCTAAAGCAGGGGTTCTTGACTATTGGAAAACACATTTCTGATGGTCTTAGGAACTGAGACACTTCTCAGCAGCAAAATTACATTTATGAAGTAACAATGAAAATAAATTTATGGTTAGGAATTCCTAACTAACAGGTTGAGAACTGCTGGCCTAAATGTTAGGCTTAACCTCACATGACCAAGTTCCTAAGACCATCAGAAATATGTGTTTTCTGATGGCCGTCACCAGCAGGTTGAGAACTGCTGGCCTAAATGTTAGGCTTAACCTCACATGACCAAGAAAAAAATATGTACATATATATATGAAATGGAATCAAACCTAAACATAATTGAGATGCCAGGTACCATGTGAACTAAGCTCCCATGGCCAAAGAAATAGTTCCTCTTAAAAAAGTTAAGGTAATTCATTATCTCCCAAATCTTTTGAACATCTGATTTATTTGGGACATTGTCAGGGTTTGTCCTCCAGTAATCTGTACTCTACTACCCTCAGCTTCTAAGTTTGTAGTCATGGTTCACACTTCACCTCCCTAGGGCCCATGGACAGAAGAACGGGCCATGTCCCAACACAGTGATAAATTATCTCTGAGCTAGGACATTTCTATTACTTTCAAGTTAGCTGTCATTACTTCTATCTAGTCTATTACTCTTGACTCTGGAGAGACCATAGGCCTAGGTTTGTTAAGCCTGCACTGGTCCCCACTTCCCAAGCACAGTGAGTCTGACTTGTGCCTAGATGTTACAGTGCTACTGCTTCTGTAGACATGTTTGCCATGCTCAAGTTTCTTTTCATTGATTTTTCAACTAACAAAAGCAAACATATATCATATACATTCAAGGGCTACTTGTGATGTATCACTGCATATATATACACTGGGTTGAACTTTTAAACTAAGCAAGATGACAGTACATCACATACTGCAAATCCAGAAACGGGCTCACCTCATTACTTTCTAAGTTTGGAAGATTCAAACATGAAAGAAGACTCAGTACATTATACAATATTTGTTTAAAAATCTGTCCAAATATTATGTCTAAAGCAATGATGGGAGATAGCAAATTTTTATCTATTCTCCACAAATGATGTCCTCTTTGGCTTCTAAAAATCAGTGACAAAAACTGATTTTTGCACATGGAGATAACTGCGGTCAAAGGGACTCAAGCTTCTCCAGAGTCCACTTGGTTAGACATTCCCAGCAGTCATGAAACTCAATCAGTGTGCACTGTCAGAAACCACACAGCTCAAGGAGAAATAGCTATAAGCAGTCACAATGAAGCTATGTGCACTTAGGAAGTATAGGCAAGAAGATCAAGAGTTCAAGGTGAGCATATGGATGAGTTTGATGTCACCCTAGGCTAAATAATGAATTCTAGGCCATTGTGGGCTGTGGGCTGCATGAAACTTGATCTCAAAAAATACAAAAAACAAAACTGGAACAAAAACTTTTTCCAATTTGTGCTTAATACTTTATAGTAAAAATCCAAGACATTCTTGCCTCTGGAAGAGTGCATATTAGTAAACACATAAATTCTACACAGCATTTAATTTAAAAGCCCTAATATTTTGAGTTTTCCACACCAATCACACAGAATTAGCACATAGATTTCAAGTGCATGGATTATTAAAAAAAAAAAAAAACCCTCGTATTTCATTTGAGGTACTACAGGGAGAATTCAGACTAGAAAAAAAGAGTTATCTGTAATTTAAATTGATATTTTTAAATAGTCCTTTTTAAAATGGACATGGTGTTGCAGTTAGAGGAGATAATCTCGTGTAGAAAGTCTCCTTGTTTTGCACTGAGGTGTCTCTTTCCAGACGCCAGCAGACACACAATAGATGTTTGCTAAGTGTTCAGAAACAAATCTAGCAGTAGCTGGGGCTCAGGTCTGAGCAAGGAGGCAGTAGCAGCATGCGGCTGACTGCGCTTCAACATACACAAAGGTAAATCACAGCACACTCACATCTGCCAGTGAACCTCAGATACTGTGGGAAGAAAGTAACCTTCCCCTCTACTAAAAATGGGGCGACAGGACTTGACAGCACACAATAGTTGTGTTTGACAAATACCAAAACCTTCATAGGGATATCTGTCATTTTCTCTAGAATGAAAAAATAACATGTGCCCATATGAATTGCCAACTAATGCAGAACAAAATCAAAGTTGAGACATTGTAAATACAAATTTGAAAACAGCAAATTGAGCATGCTAATTGTTATTGCTCCAAAAGGTGTCTCAACTGCCTTATTATAATATTATGCTATTATATTATTTTTATTATATGGTTTTTATTCCTTTTAATAAGTTGTCATATTATTTTAAAAGTTAAACATATGTATTTTTGTCTGGCTATATGCACAAAGCCGTGTTAAGCAATACTAAGGTCATTTTATGTCTAAATAAAGCACAGTGCAGTTCTCCCCCTTAAGCAGTGGGATGTACACATACCTGCGGTGACTTCCTTTTCCTCCTCCTCAATGCTGTTTCTGATGCTGTCATATTCCTCATCAATAGACTGATTTCCACGCATCTGAGACAAAATTCTGCGAGCCTTCTGAGTCTGTCCTTTCTGAATAAGCCACCGGGGGCTTTCAGGCAAAAAAAGAAATCCAAGAAACTGTATAACGGCCGGAATTGTAGCAAGTCCCAGCATGTACCTGCAGCAAGAAATACACCGACACTGTGAAATTATTCTAGAACACTGAGTATATATTCACTGTGGAGACTAATAACACTGAGTGCACACTCGTTTACCAGAGTCTAAAATCACTGTGTGATCACCCTTCCTGATGCCGTGACCCTTTAATACAGTTCCTCATGTTGTGGTGACCCCAGATGATAAAATTATTTTCATTGCTACTTCATAACCATAATTTTACTACTTTTGCGAATTATAATGTAAATATCTGTGTTTTGTACGCATAAGTCTCTATAGCTACTTGCTATAACCCCAGAGTACAATATTTTTTTATAAGTTTAAAAGAAACAGAAGAGAAGTGTAATACAAATAAATGAAAGGCCCAGTGACTGATATTGGGATTTAAGCTTCAAGCTAAAGATCAGGGAAGCAAAGCAGCTGGCCACCAGCTTCTTACCTCTCCCTCAAGCTGAATGGGTTGATTCTGTCTCCACGAGCTCTCACTAAGCCTCAGACTGTAACCTCTCCACCGTGTGGCTAGAACTATTGTCTCTATTGAATACTGAAGATCCTGCTTCTTTTATAACCCCTCTAGTGCTGGGATTAAAGGTATATGATCTGTTACTTTTTTAGACTGATCCAATCTCATGTATCCCTGGGTGGCCTTGAACTCAAGAGTGATCCATCTATCTTTCTCTCTTTTTAAATTTTAAATAAATTTTTATTTAGATTAAAAACAATCTTATTTTACATATCAATCCCAGTTCACTCTCCCTCCTGTCCTCCCATGCTCCCCCCATCAATCCCCCATCAGACATCCCATCCACTCCCCAGGGAGGATGTTGGCCTCCCATGAAGGAATCTTCAAAGTCTATCACATCATTTGGGGCAGGACCTAGGCCCTCCCCCTGTATCTAGGCTGAAGAGAGTGTCCCTCCATGGGGAATGGGCTCCCAAAGTCCATTCATGCACTAGGGATAAACACTGGTTCCACTGCCAGAGGCCCCATTGACTGCCTAAGCACCACAACTAACACCCACTGTCAGAGGGCCTGGTTCAGTACTATACTGGTTCCCCAGCTGTCAGACTGGAGTCTGTGAACTTCCACTTGCTCAGGTCAGCTGTTTCTATGGGTCTCCCCAGCATGGTCTTGAGCCTTTTGCTCATCACTCCTCCCCCTCTACAAATGGATTCCAAAAGGTCGGCTCAGTGCTTAGCTGTAAATCTCTGCTTCTGCTTCCATCAGCTACTGGATGAAGGCTCTAGGATAGCATATAAGGTAATCATCAATCTCATTATAGGGGAAAGGCTTTTAAGGTGGCCTCTCCACTATTGCTTACATTCTTAGTTGCAGTCATCCTTGTGGATCCCTGGACATTTCCCTAGTGACACATTTCTCTTTAAACCTACAATGGCTCCCTCTATTAAGTTATCTCTTTCCTTGTTCTCCTCTATTCTTACTCCAACTCTATCTTCCTGATCCCTCATGTTCTCTTCCCCTCTCCCCTCCCCCTTTTCCTATCTCCCTCCCCCTGCTGCTCCCAATTGAAGGAATTCTTGAAATAGAAAATCTGGGTAAATGATCAGGAACCACAGATGCAAACAAAATACAAGAGATGAAAGAGAGAATCTCGGATGTTGAAGATACACTAGAGGAAATAGATTCATCTACCAAAGAAAGTCTTAAGTCTAACAAATCCCTAACACAAAATATCCAGGAAATATGGGACATTGTGAAAAGACCAAACCTAAGAATAACAGTTATAGAAGAAGGCAAAGAAACCCAGCTTAAAGGTGCAGGAAACATATTCAACAAAATCACAGAAGAAAACTTTCCCAACCTAAAGAAAGACATGCCTCTGAAAGTACAAGAAGCCTACAGAACACCAAATAGATGAGACCACAAAAAAGTCCCCTCGCCACATAATAATCAAAACCCCAACATAGAGAATAAAGAAAGAATATTAAGGGCAGCAAAGGAAAAAGTCCAAATAACATATAAAGGCAGACCTATCAGAATTACACCTGACTTTACTGTGGAAACTCTGAAAGCCAGAAGGTCCTGGACAGATGTTCTACAAACACTAAGAGACCAGCCCAGACCACCATACCCAGCAAAGCTTTCAATCACTATACATGGAGAAAACAAGGTATTCCAAGACAAACCAGATTTAAACAATACATATCAACAGATCCATCTATCTTTTAATCCTGAGTTCTAGGATTAAGGGTGTGTACCACCACCTCCTAGCTTCTGCCTGCTGGAATTAAAGGTGTGTCACCACTGTCTGATCTCTATAGCTTGAGGCTGACTTTGCTTTTCTGAATCCTCAGGCAAGCTTTAATGAATCATAAATAATATATCATTACAAAGAAGCAGAGTGGGCTCTGGAAGCCAGAATGCTTTAGACCCAGAGCCCAGGTGTAAAACTCCTGTACAGTGGGAGGAGAGAAATCTGCAAGCCCTGTCATTCTTTCTCTTTGCACAGACTCGTCCAGAAAACTAAAAATACTGTACACACTGACATTTGACACTTACTTTCTAAAAGCAAAAAAGGGGAGATGTTTAGTCTACTTTAATTATCCTTGCTGATAAAATATATTCTAAAAGAAGAAAATCCATAGCTTTGTAGAAACCCACTGCACAGGATGTGAGGGTAGCTGTGAAACATAAATAGGAAAAAGAGATTAGATTCTATTTCATACTATTGTTTTACTAAGTGCCCCCCTAAACATGTAGATCAGTAGCTGGTTGTGCTACTGGGTGGTGATGAGACCTTCAAGAGGCAAAGAAGCTCTAGAAGCATAGCTTAAGGACCTTATCCCCTCAACAAACCAACAGGTTATGTTCTAGAGGCATGCCCTTGAAAGGGTTGCTTTTTGTCTATGTGCTTCTCAGCTGCCAAGAAGTCAGCATCTGTCCCTACCATATGCCAGTATGTGGTTCTGACCATCACTTTCTGTCCTATTTCACACCAAAAAGTCAAAAGCTAGATGATCTTGAACTGAGACCTCCAGACCAATTTCTCCTTTTAAGTTAATTATCTCAAGTATTTTGTTACCATAACTGAAGGCTGATTAACATAGCTCAGGTCCTCTAACCACAAGACTTCCCTGGTCAAGTTACTTGTCTATGCACACAGGACAGTGTCTCATTCCCTAGCACCACTGGGTGCAGGGTGTGGCAAGTAGTTCCTAGATCACTTAGCAGACAGGATACTCAAAGTATTTCACCTCTTTGGAGTGTCTAACCTTGTGAGCAATCCCACATAGAACTGTTACAGCCACATCTTCCCCCAATCTCCAGCAGATAGTACTATCCAATATCTTTCTCTGGGAGAAAATTATTCTTCTAAAAATATGTACATTGGTGAGAAGGAAGGATTACTGTTATACTGATGAAAAAGTCAACCTAAGATAAAGAAGCAGAGAGCCATAAACTTAGCTAATCTGAATCAAAAGAGTGTCTGATATGGGATGTCTTTTTGTATGCTGCGAATATGTGTTGCTTTTATTGGTTGATGAATAAAGTTGTTTTGGCCAATGGCCAGGCAGAATATAACTAGGTGGAAAATCCAAATAAAGATGTATAGAGAAAAGAAGGTGGAATCAGGGAGCCACCATGTAGCAGCCAAGGGGTAAGATGCCAAACATTAATGGTAAACCATGACCATGTGGTGATACACAGATTAGTAAATATGGGTTAATTTAATTGTGAGAGCTAGTCAGTAATATGCCTGGGCCACTGGCTAAACAATTATAATTAATATTAAGCCTTAGAGTGGTTATTTGGGAACTGGTGGGAGGGATGAGAAACCTCTAACAACAGGTGTCAATATCCAAATCCCCAGAAATCAGGAACCAGATGAATGACAAGAAGTCCTATGATAAACCAAGATAGGTCTCCCCTAGAGACCAGGAAACCTCATTAGTATAAGCTAAAGCAAGGGTTCTGGATCCAGGATTCACAGGTGAGTCCACCAGGGGGCATTTTAAATACATTAGTGGCTAAGCTCCTCCTTCCCCAGGGGTTGTGATTAATTGGTCTGGGCTCTGAGCCCAGAGAATTCTATTTCATTAAAAGCTCTCCAGGGTGGTTCTAATGTGCAGTTGATGCCAAGAACCGCAGATCTAAACATTTTAAAATCCCAACGGTGAAAATGAACAACAAACACCCGCAATCTCAAGGAAAAGTCATTTATCTTTAGGAGGTAAAAAGGTACCAAGGGCTGATAGGGGAAAAATTGGCTGACTCTGGGGGGTGGGGGGGAATGGAAGCATTGATGAGTTTTGAAACTCTTCAAAATATTCTTAGCATCACAGTAAAGTACACCAACCTTGACCTTGACATTAACAGGGTCACAGCTAGTGGTACAACCATAACATGAAGGATGGAGCAGACTCTGGGTGGGGAGGGGGGTGAACGATGCTTCCAGATGTTGTCAGCCAAGTAGAACAACCCAGAGAAAGCTTATTTGCAGTTCCAAAAGACTGATTCTCTGAGGACTCTAAATCCTTCCCTGCTGGGCCCTTGCTGCTCCACAATGGCTCAGCTGGTCAGATGTGCTACAGCCAAGATCATATTACAGGTCCTTCACAGAACTGCACCATTGATTCAAAGGCACTGTTCCTACCTGTGCAATTTAGGAATCTTCTGACAGAAAGCCATTTAAGGCACGGGGTTCTGCAGTCCACAGTAACAGTAACCAGTCCCTTCTATGAACTAGGACATAGGTTAATTAGCATGCTACATCGACTCTGTCATTCCCAAATACATGAAAATCTACTTAAATGTACACACTCAGCTAGTTCACAGAACACTTTACAATAGCAATAAGAGCTAACAAAGGACACCAGCTATTTGCCAAACACTGTTCAAAAGACTCCAAGATATAGGATACCTAACATCTTCATGACAATCCTAGGACCTTGATAGCATTATCAAACTCACTTTACAGATTAAGCATGAAACACTAAATGGGACTGAATGCATTGCACATTTTGTGAGAAACATGAGCC